TGTATGAGTTCCCTTTCTGCACCATATCTTCTAGTGCCTCCCCTTTCAGATCCATATCTTCCTCTACTAAAATTATTTCTCACAAATCCTTTACCATAACCACCTCTTCCTCTGTTTGCTCTTCTATAATCTGTAGCATTTACTAACATTGCACTATTCTCATTAGCCTCTGGAAATATGGTATGTACCTCTCTTTGTTTTTCAACCCTTAATACCATAGAATAGGCTTTGTTCACAGATGGTAGAGGATCCATAACCAGTATCTGATTTCTCATATGGTCAAATGTGTCATTTAATCCCATTAAGAATTGAATCAACCAATTAAAAGTAGTCAGATCTGTGACTTCTTTTGATGCATTGAAGATGCAGGTAGGCATAGGCATTAAACAAGTGAGTTCATCCCAAAGTTTCTTCAACTTTGTATAGTATCTCTCAACCGTTAAAGTACCTTGTGATATGCTACTTATCTCTCTCTGCAATTGATATAGCATTGGTCCATTGCATTCTCCATATCTCTCCTTTAATTCCAACCATAGATCCTTAGCTGACTTAGTGTAAATAAATACTTCAACAATATCCTTTGCAATTGAGTTCAGTAACCATGACCTAACCATGCAATCGACTCTAATCCATTGTTCTAATTTCGAAGGATTCTGAACAGCTGGTTTATCACAACTTCCATCAATAAAACCCAATTTTAACTTCGCACCCAAGGCTATAATAACAGATCTACTCCAACTAAGATAGTTTCCACCTGTTAATACCGAAGTAAGTAATATCATACCAGGATGATCTAAATTTTGGAGATCCAACGGATCTCTATTTGAGTATTCTTTCCCAGTTTCTTTATCGCCAGTTTCTGACACCAGCGGATCCTGTGGCGCCATATTATCTTCAATTGATGATTCATTTCATAATCCGGTTCCAGAATTGTCCCTCTCTGATACCATGTGGAAAATCAAGCTGAAACATTGAACATTACTTTATTCCTTTTAAATCTGGAAAATCCGTCCAACAGAAATGAAGAACTACATCTATATATAGATGCAATAGCTCCATATTGTCCAATAAGGAAATGACAGCAAAACAAAAAATGGAAAAGAAAATAACAGAATAACAAATGCTACTAATTAAAACGTAAAAACCAGAAACACGACTTATGGTTAAAGACTGTAGCCCGGCTGGTTTGTTTCTTTTTTCTTGCAATGATCTGGTTCTTCTTCCTCTATTTTCTTCACTTTCCCATGGGTACTAAGTTTTTTTTTACAAATCTACGATTACAAGACCATTGTTCAGTTTAAAGCATGTTTCCTTTTGTCACAACATTTTTTTTTTGTAGAGTCAAAGTTTAGCAATAAATACTTATTTCTGGTTTGCATTTTTCTCACATTCTCCCATACCTCACAATATTTATCTTTTTCAATGGCTTAGATTAAATCACATTAAATTATTTAAAAAAGAGCAAAAATGATGGGTTGGATTGACATGCCATGTAATATTGGTAGGTCTGAGGACGGGTTCATTTCTCAGATTTCGTAGGTGGCCTTGACCTTACTCGAGTCATAAATTTAAACGGACCTATTCAAACACGCAATGAGCCAAGTAGGTAGGTCGGTCCGCTTTAACCACTCATTTTGACTCCTCTACAAACAAGTTGGGAATGGGGCAAAATGGAAACGCAGAGAAGAAGTGGATCTCTCTGATCCACCCAAATATTCGAACATGTGAAAGAGGGTGGATTAGGCTTACACAACTTTGAGAATGTACAAAGGTCCATGCATATGAAATTTGATTGGCGTTTAACGTCTATGGATAATTGCGGACCAATTTTTTTAAAGCAAAATATGTTTGAAATTGTTCAAATTAACAATGAGGTGTGTTTTTGAAAGTGATGGAAATTGCTAACAATGAGAAAAACAAGCGAAAACAAAACGAGAACAAAAAACGGTGAAGGCAGAAAAAAGGCTTGGGCGGCCGCTCAGCCTTGTGGTTCAAAAACAGTGACCATTTTGTTGAACTGGGCAGGCGTCCGATTTTGTACTGGGCGGCCGCCTAATACAAAAATTTGTCCGTTGAGATCGCATCTATGATCTCTACACAAATAACACCTTAACAAAGGAGATATGGGAATCGTTGGAAACCAAATACAAGGCCGAGGAAGAAGATACCAAAAAGTTTCTTATTTCTAAGAATTTTGATTTCAAATTTTTGGATAACCTACCATTGATAGACTAGGACATGTTGGGTTTTCTACTTTGAAAAGAATGATTAAAACCGGAATGATTTAATGTGAAAACATAGAATATAATAAATGTAAATTATGTGTTAAATCTAAAATGATTGAGGGACTTTTTCATAGTGTTGAAAGAAAATCTAATTTGCTAAACTTAATACATTTCGATATATGTGAATTAAATGGAATATTAACTAGAGGAGGTAATAGATACTTCATAACATTTATAGATGATTATTCTAGATTTTGTTATATCTCTTTGATGAAACATAAAGATAAACCCTTTAACATGTTTAAGACATACAAAACTGAAGTAGAAAATCAATTAAATAGAAAGATTAAAATTCTTAGAAGTGATAGGAGAGGTGAATATTTCTCTAGTGAATTTAATCTTTTTTTGTGAACAACATGGCATAATACATCAATGTAGTGCACCTAGAATACCAGAACAAAATGGTTTGGCTGAGAGAAAGAATAAGACACTAGTTGAAATGATAAAAGCTATGTTATTAAATGTTAAGTTGTCATCTAATTTATGGGGTGAAGCTTTATTAAGTGTGTGTCACATAGTTAATAAGATTCCTTCTAAAAGATTTAAGATTTCTCCATATGAATTCTGGGAAGGGTGAAAACCAAACATTGGTCATTTCAAAGTGTGGTGATTTCTTGCTTACAGTAAGAACAAGGATCCTAAAAGGACTAAGTTGAATCCTAGAGAGATCTAATGCGCTTTTGTAGGATATGCCCGAAATAGCAAGGCAGATTTAGTTGACTTTACTGACAGTGACTATGCTGAAGATCTAGACGATAGAAGAAGCACATCAAGATATGTTTTTACGATGGGCTCTGGAGCTGTTTCGTGGTCTCCAAAGAAGAAAGCAATTCTTACTTTATCAACAATCGAAACAGAGTTCATTATTGCAACAGCCTGTGCTTGTCAAATTATTTGGTTGAGAAAAATTCTTGAAGAGCTTCATTTCAAGCAATAAGGAGCCACTACAATTTATTGTGACAACAATTCGGTAATAAAACTCTCCAAAAATCCTGTTTTACATGGAAGAGGCAAGCATGTAGATGTGAGGTTCATTTCTTGAGGGATCTCACGAAGGAAGGAGTCATTGATCTCAGCCATTGCAAAAGTGAAGATCAAGTTGCTCATATTTTTACCAAGTCCCTCAACAAATAATAAAATAATTCATCTCATATTGTTTATGTCCTCTTTCTCTCTGCTATTGTAACATCTCTCTCATAATTAAACTAATTCTGTATTTCAAAAAAAAATTCAAATTGATCACTGTTTGGCATGCAAACTTGTTACTATGGCACACGAGACAATTATTAAAATAACTTGTATTTCTTATATTTAAACCTTTCTTTACAATAAATTGGTGGTTTGTAACGATGAGTTAGCATGTCACGTATAAGATCTTTGTTAAACATTTTCTGTCAGTTCCGTGGGTGGCAAATGAGCAAAATTGCAAATGTTATTCAATACCCAAATGAAGTATACATTAAGTCTTTGTTTAATAGAGATTAAAATAAGATTTTTAGTTGATTTTGATAGAATTTAATGAAATGTATGGTTAAAATACTGTGCATCTCATGAAATATGTTATTAAAATTAATTGTTGATTTAAACTTAAATTTTAATTCCTTTCAAACATGGGATTAGTGTTAGTACTGAACTAAATCGAATTCCCAAATATTTTCCTTATTTGTCCCTGTTGGACAAAACTCTCAGCACGTAAAATTTTCATTAGTTATATTAGCGGCCTTTTTTTTTTAAATGAAATCTGGTGTCCACCAAATTGAAGTTCATGTTAGATATTTATAATATAAATATAATATGTGGAAAAAAATAATTAATTCAGATTAAGTACCCAATTGGTGAAAAGTGTGGAATTTGTGTGAGAGGTCGGAGGTTCGAGTCACACCTCGCGCATTATATTAAAAGTCTTTGATTGGGGCCTTATGCTCTTGGGCTTTATTGATTCTAATAATAAATTATTATTTTTTAATCATTTTGGAAATTATTTAATGGTCAACTAACTAGTAAAATATGACAGTTTTTAATTGTCAGGTATTAACAACTCATTACCACTAGCCATAAAATTACAAATAAATACTGGATCATGGAAGAGGCAATTATGTGATTTTTCTGCCTATATATAAACACATATCTGGGCATTAGAAACATAAAACAAAAAACGAAATTGTATTTTCATATTCAGAAAAAATATTATACTCTATTTTACATATTTTCTAGAGTATACTTGAGAGTTCTGAAAATCATTTGTGATTACTGTACAATTGGTTTATTTGATCGTTATATCCTGTAGGTGATTGTCCACAGAGGTTGCATTAGTTATCGACGGACAATTTCGCTTTAGGATATCGTGTTGTCACGAGACTCGATTAGTCAATAAGTTTTTATTTCTACACTTACTACCAATGAAGTTATTAACCTAAGCATAAATCTTTCTCGGATTATGGATAACAATGTCAAAATAAATAAGCAAAACCTTAATCAGATTAAAAACCGGGATTTCATGGATAAAAATAAGATAACTTCGAAGATTTCATTCCAAACATTAACCTACTTTTTAAGAAAATGAAGATATGTTTGAGGAATAATTAGCAGGTACCAAGAATATTCCTAATTATGGTAAGGAGAATCCTAAAAAAGTAATCCTACCAAGCTATAAATATTAAACCCTACAAGAAATACATAGCTATGTCTTATCAAATCTCTACAATGTGGATCTTAATGTTTTTGTGGCTACGCTATGCTGCTATATTATGCAGTGGAGGTGTTACCAGCAGTTATATCAGAAAATCCCAAGCGTCAATCGACATGCCACTCGAACTTTTTCCTTCACCCCTTGGATTCAATGCACCAGAGCAGGTGCTGGTGGAAGAGTTGTCAACTTTACTTAATTCATCATATATTCTTAATTAATTATTTTTAAATCATTTGCAAGTCTTGATTTTGTTCATTCTCGTTGCAGGTTCACATAACACAAGGAGATGACGTAGGACGAAGCATGATAATTTCATGGGTGACCCCAATAAAGCCACATCCAAATGAAGTCACTTATTGGGAAGACATAAATGGCAAACATGGTCACAAACACAAGATTAGTGCTAAATTCACTTCTTACAGATACTACAATTACACTTCTGGTTATATTCATCATGCAACAATCAGAAGACTAAAGGTTACCGACTAACTTATTTACTGTTTGTTTCCTACGCGAAAATATTCAATTTGATTTAGATTCTTCTTTGTCGAATCCGTGCAGTATAACACTAAGTACATTTACGAACTTGGAAAGCACAATACCACTCGGAGATTCCACTTCACAGCTCCTCTTCAAGTTGGACCTGATGTTCCATACACCTTTGGTGTCATGGGTGACAGATTTATAGCCTAATTAATTCAATTATGTATTCACTATTCTTACATTTCATGCTTATGTATGTATGTAGGTGACTTGGGACAAACATATGACTCGAATCAAACATTCAAGCATTATGTGGCGAACCCAAAGGGTCAAGCAGTGCTGTTTCTTGGTGATCTTTCATATGCAGATCATTATGAATTCCACGACAATATGAGGTGCGATAGTTGGGGTAAATTTATCGAGAAGAGTGTTGCATACCAGCCGTGGATTTGGACAGCAGGAAATCATGAAATCGACAATGCTCCGGAGATTGTAAGACCTGTGCTCTTGATATTGTTTAGTAACGTAGAGTCGAGCGCACCAAATACGCCCTCAGTCTCTGATTTGTATGATGCATTAATTAAATCATACATGCCAAAGTAATTTTATGGATATATCTGACATGTTGTGAATTGTTTGAACATATTTGTGTAGGAGGAAAACACTCCATTTAAGCCATATCTGCATCGTTATCACGTTCCTTACAAGGCGTCCCAGAGCACATCTCCTCTTTGGTATTCCATTAAACGTGCATCGGCCTACATAATTGTACTGTCTTCTTATTCAGCTTACGGTAAGTAAACATAGTATGAGGACCCTTTTCGTTGCCTAGGCTACACCTTGGGAATAACCCAGGAGGGAAAAACTCAAAATACATTATAATTTGTTTGTTTATAATTTTCAGGTACATATACTCCACAATATAACTGGTTTCAACAAGAATTCCCAAAAGTGAACAGGGCTGAAACTCCATGGCTCATTGTTCTTCTTCATTCTCCATGGTATAACAGTAATAACTACCACTACATGGAAGGAGAAAGCATGAGAGTCATGTTTGAATCTTGGTTTGTTCAGAACAAAGTCGATCTCGTGTTTGCTGGACATGTTCATTCTTACGAGGGCTCGGTGAGCCTTTCAATTTTACTCAATTTTCTTTAATTATTGTCTAGTTCAGCTTATCAAACTCAACATTAGTATGTTTGCTTCTCATGCATGGATATATAACAAGGCTTTCAAAATGATTCTATGAAACATTTGTACATAACATGTGTCTGCTAATTAACTTTGATTTATAAAGTAACAACATATCACAATTCTTGATTAAACGAGTCCAAATTTGCTATCCCGAACTTTCTGTCCCCTTAGCTATCACCCCATTACATTTTTGAAACCTTGGCTGTCTTCCCATTTGAGGTGTCAAAATTGTACAGGGAACATCAAGTTCAGGACAACAGATGTTAACTCTCACTAAACATATGTTTAATTAAGTGATAGGATCTCAACGAAATGTAATTCTTGTTTTCTTTTATTACAGGAAAGAATATCGAATATGAAGTACAACATAACAAGTAATTTAAGCACTCCAGTGAAAGATGCTTCTGCTCCGGTGTACATAACCATTGGTGATGGTGGAAACATCGCAGGCCTTGCTAATAATTGAGTGTTTCACATTCTATTACTTTCACTCAGCATGTGCATGAGCCCGTAAAAAAACACACTAACTAACAATGGACGACTATAACCGTGTAATTTGCAATGCAGCTTTTCAGAACCACAGCCAAGTTACTCAGCTTTTCGAGAAGCAAGTTTTGGGCATGCAATTCTTGAAATAAAGAATAGGACTCATGCCTTCTACACTTGGTACCGGAACCATGAAATGTGCCAATTGCAGTAGATTCTACTTGGTTTTACAATAGATATTGGTATCCACATGAAGAGTCAAGCTCCACCGAGAATTAAAAAAGGGCTTTAAATAAGTTGCAAGAAGAATATGTAATAATATTATGCCTTTGCTAGTTTTTCTTTCTCCGTAGCTCCTAGAAATAGGATGATTTAATTTGTCCAAGTATCATGGTCTAAATTACCCACAATTTGATGTTCTTCGATTTGATGTATCAAACGTCATCTACATTACCCACAATCGATTTAGCGATTTTTACTGAACATTAGTAATGCATATGCGCACTATAGCTAAAGTACATGAATAGGAATAAAACCAAGTCTTTCTAGGTTGTTATGATTCTCGGTAATACTCACATCAATTTTCAATTGTTATGTTTTGCTCCATTAAATGAAAAATCTTCAATGCATGTCGTCTGGAGATCAAGAATTAAAAAATAATAGAAGAACAGAAGCTTTTGATTCTAGAACATTTAATACTAAGCATAATTTAACTCTCATTTCCTTTCCATTTCTCAAAATAAGCTAATGTCAGTTTTCTTCTAATTGCACGGTGATCCAATGCCACATTCGCTCAAATTTTTAGATAGTTCTATAATATTATTGCTAGAATATTGTAAGATTACATAACCAAGAGTATTCTATGTAAACAATTTGGATAGTATATTGAAGGGAAAAATTTATTTCTCAGATTTTTACTATATACTCTTGTAGCCCTAGAAATTATTATCATATTTATCCCTAATCATTTATTATAAATATAGGGTTTTGGTTCTCATTATAATACACACAAATCTATTGACTTCTCTTATTCTCTCTTTTTATAGCACGTTATCAGCACGGTTTCTCTCCAAAATAATATATATTTAATTGTAAACGGATGCAATAATCTCCTTGCCAAATTTTTTCTGCCCCTCCATAACATGTCTCTTCCTCTAACCATAATTTTTTTCTCTAAGATAAAAGGATGCACACAATTTTTGCCTGCATAAAATATCTCTCTCTCTCTCTCTAAGTAACCACATGTGATTAATGATTGTCCATCATCAAATCAGACACATCCAATTTATTACATTGACAGGCTGACTGAAGTGATGTGAATGAGATAGTTGCATTAGCTGCAAATTTGGATGAATGCCACAACCTTCAGCCTGGAGATATAATTTGGAAAAACTTGCAGGTACTTGTCTTTTATGTGTTCGGTAGTTTAGGAGGAATATGTGTTTTGAGAGATTTCTATGCTCTGAAATTTGGTAAGAAAATATATTTATTCAACTATTTTGTCTTAATTTTCCTTTCTTCTTGTATATTGTTCGATTAATTATCGTTCAATTAATTATTATGCTTCTATTATTAAATATTATTGCTCGTGAAGTAGCACATTATTATTGATATTCTAGTTAGATTTTATTTGCTTCGAAGAGCATATTTATGTAAAATCTTCATCTATATATTATTGGTATCTAATAGATTTGATACAAATATTAGATTATTACATGGTATTCGCAACCTGAAGTTTTCAAAAGTGCTGCTCAAATTATGAACATAATTTTCAGATTATACAATTATGATGGTGTATCTTATTAATGCTAATTATCATAAATCTCAACATTTTAATAAGTCTTTGTTGAGATGTCGATAAATGGTAACACTACTGCTTGTTAAACGCCTCGTTTAATTTAATTGAGAACAAAGTACTTCTCATTTCTATTTAGGGAAAACCATTACGCATCATGTCAATATTATAGTTCTCACAATTATAACTTGTCTTATGGTGAGAGCTTAATTTTTCCATCAAATTATTTCGATAGTGCAGTATATGTAAAATTGATCTACACTAATACACTGAGATGGAAACTAAAGAATGCTAAAAATAAATGCGTAGCTTGAACCCTTATTCCAAATGGATGATATTTTATAACACTGGAAAAAGTGATTGTCAATTTGATTGGACAATTTTCTCGGTATTAGGGGGATGAATTAAGAAGTTCAAAATAATATACAAATGCATCATTATCTAAATCATCGCAAAAGACAATTCGAACAAGAAGTTCGAAGAATAATTCATTTAGACGCATTTACTGACCAAAGAGATTAACAATCTCACACATCAATTTTAAATGCTCCAACTCGAATTGACTCCTAGAAGACAATTCGTTAATATTATATTTGATAAATTTATGACAAGCCTGAAACGTGATAATATTCGATTCTATTACAAAATCTTTCAAACGAAAATGAATCAATTGGTAAAGATGGTCTTATTAAGGAGACATATACTCTTGATGAGTATTTAGGCATAGCAAACTTTAAAACCCCAGAAGAGGTTCAAGTACCCGAAATAATGAAAATTGAGATATCTCAATAAGTTATGTCATTATAGAAAAAAAATAGAATCGAAAAAAATAAGAAAAAGTTGTCGACAACACTTTTACAATGATGTACTGTATTATATTATGAATAGCGATGAATAGAAATAAATTCGTTGAAATATATCGATCGAATAATTGGTCAAATAAAATGACGTGATCCTAGTGAAAGAATTTACTAGAGAAATATGATGTTTCTGGATCTACACTCTGAACACATAAAGGTGTATGTTTATACGAAATAGAAAAAGTAAAGTCTTAATACGAAATGTACGACTGTTTATAATGAATTCCGCGAAAACTTGTGCAAATAGAAAAATTATCACGTGGTGGATGTAATCGCAAGTCTTTAATTTATTAGTTTGACAATGCATGAAATTTGATATACATATAATAAATTTGATTATAGGCAACTTATCTGGCATGTTTATTAATCTTACGTTGAAAGATTTAATATGCTTAATTTATTATAGCCAACTTATCTGGCATGTTTATTAATCTTACGTTGGAAGATTTAATATGCTTGAAGCATATAATTCAAGTAATATTATTATGAGGGGCACGCGTTGTATTATTTTTTCCTTAACCGAGATTTTGTCCCATTGGGTTTTCCTAATAAGGTTTTTAATGAGGCAACTCTTGTAACATATTTAAAGGAATAAATGTACTCTTTTTCATTCATTAGGATTTTTCCTAATAAGGTTTTAACGAGATATTCTTTATGTAATAAATGTCTATAACCTAAAAGACATTTACCCTCAAAATAATACTATGATATATATGAGACTCATGAAGAAATCAACAAGAGCTATTTTTCGAATCATCATATTAATGCAATTATCAAGTTCTGTCCCTCTGAATTTTTTTTGAAGACATTGACGTACAAGATATCAATATTGAAGACATTGACGTACAAGACATGGATCGCTTGATACAATAATTGAAATCAGGGGAAGTAGCTGTACTCATTTTCTTTCGATCAAGTTTTGTCCAACTGGGTTTTCTTCATAAGATTTTTCCGAGGCAACAATTTATTACTCTTCATATTTGTATTCTTTGTTGTTGTCATTTTTGTCCCATCGAGTTTTTGACAAATAATATATCAAGAAGATAGATATTTTGTAATGTGTCATTCAAGGGGGAGTGTTGTACACGGTAAGTTATTGGTGAATGACAATTGTACCCTTGCAGCCCTAGAAATTGTAGCATATGTATCTCTAATCCTTCCCTATAAATATAGGACTTTGGTTCTCATTATAATACACACAAGTCTATTGAGTTCTCTTATTCTCCTCTTTTTCTCTCTTTTTATAACAAACACACACACACACACACACACATATATATACCCACCCCACCTCCACCACCCCTATCGCTCCGGCGACCGTTCCGACGACTACTCCGATTCCGGCGACTATTTCGATTATCATTTCGGCGACTGCTACGATTCCGACGAATATTTCGATGACCATTCTGCCATCGATTTATTCCGGCGAATGCTCCATTCCAGCAATTATTCCAACTCCGACGAATATTCCAGCGACAACTTTGCCATATTTTTTTTTATACAGTTGACACGATTTTTGACCTCTTGATTGTTGCTTGTGACTAATAATATAAAATGTGACCTGTAAATTTGAATCGTGAGCTACAAACACATGTTACCTGTTAATATTGATTTGTGACCCATTTATATTGATTTGTGGCCTATAAAAAATGACTGTGAACTCAAACATGTGACAATGATCTGTGACATTAACGATAAATTATTTAGCCACAGTTAACTATCAAATCAGTTGATCATACTGATCTGTGACCCTTTTGTATTGATTTTTGACCTATACAAAATGACTGTGACTTGTGAACTCAAACATGTGACCAGTAAACTGTGACCTTAGCATCTCATTTATTCATTGCAAATCGATCACAATTTATNGACCTTAGCAACTCATTTGTTCATTGCAAATTGATCACAATTTATCAAATTATTGGTCACAACTTAGTTTATGATGACAAATCAAGAATTTTATAGGTATTTCTTGGTCACACTTATTTTATCGAATTTTAAGGTCACAGTTTAGTAACATGTCACATCAATAACTTTTCCTTCTTTTTCAACCACATATTAAAATTTTTTATAGGTTACAAGTTATTTTTCGGCCACGAATTAAAATTTTTTATAGGTCGCGGATTGAAAAAATCAAAACTTTTATTGGTCACATCTCGATTACAGTGAGTCACAGTCACAATTTTAATTGGACACATTCGATTACACGCACAAAATAATCACAGTCACTTCCAACCCCATATCGTCGGCACTCCCGACACCCACCGTCGCACGCTTGCACAATACCTCAAGATCCCTTTTGGGAAAATGGAAAGTAACAACAAA